GAGCCGGAGCTCGAACCGGCAACCTTCCGATTACAAGACGAACTGCCAACTCTTGAGCCACGATCGCCCCAGAGGATGTTGTTTGGAGGATGAAGTCTGTTTCTGTTTCTGTCTCTATGGCCAATCCTTCTGATTAGTTAGGGCACACCAGGAGAGATTCACAGGTAACAATGATGCTGCCAGCTGATCCTGCACAGTCAACCCGATAGCAGTACCAACCTAGAGAGACTAGCATTGTGCATGTCTGTACGAGGTGGGTCACACCACAGTTTCTAGCTTTTCCGAACACTATCAATATCACTGGATGACTTTTCATTGATTGGACTCGGTGCTCTGAGGCTCTGAAGCACATGCTATGCATCATGTTCCCATTTCACCTTATTTGGCTGTGCAGTCAACTAATAACACGATCAAACTAAGACACATTAAAAAGAGATAAAATTCAAGTTTTACGTATGTTTTTAGATTTTATGTCTGAGTAAGTTTAATGAGATAGCAGCAGTGACTGGTGATATAAATTGGGAGATGGGGAATGGTATCTGATAGTGAGGAGTAGTAGCAGCGATGCCAAGTAAGGGTTAAAGAAGTGATGGAATAGTCTATAATAACTAATAACTACAATATTTTTTAGGTCATGACAGTATATGCAGCTGTTACTGTTACTCATGATTTGTCTTGATGTGATGAAATGTTCGCAAATGAATGAGAAATCATCTGTCATTCATAAATGAAATGTTTTGTAGGATTTGAAATTTTTTTTACTAGGTTAACTAACTATTAAAATTGAGCTGAAGCAACTGACAGCAGCACAGTGTCCAAGAAACTCTTGCAGGATGTTCTGGCCTTGCGTCGCATAGTTGTTCCAGTTTCTCCTCTCTGCTGTGCACTTTGTCATCAGCTGTGGGAGTTCTCCTTCTCCTGTTCCTCATTAGATTTTTGGTGATGTATGCAAAAAGTGGCTTTCTGATTACAATGTGCTGCTTTGAATATACATAAGAACGCAAGTGCACAGTGGAAGTGTAATAAGTAGCTGCTTGTTACGGTCATGCCTGCTCGGCAGCTCACCACAAAAACCACACAGGTTTCATGTGCATGCAGTTATCAGCATGTTTTCTTAAAGTTCAGTGAGGCATATTTTGAAACCCTCCTCTTCTTGCTTGTTTATTACATTCATATTAGTGATAAAATGCAGTCTTTTTTTTCAGGGTCAGGTCAGACTCAGGTTAAGCTTTTCTGAAGAGTTTCGGTTGAGGATGTGGTCTTGAGAAAATTTGACAAACTTTGATTTTAACACAGGAAATCAAGAGCGTGTGTTAACTCTGTTTGTACCCTTCACTGATTTTTGATTTTCCTCCACCCTTCCTCTCTCGATGACTGTAAGCGTGAAGCTCACCACCGTGCAGAGTAACATCCTGAACCCTCGATTTACCAGCAGGTGATCAAAGAGAAATGTCCCAACCCAAAACCGAGCCCCTCTCAAGTTAAAGGAAGTGGAGTCCTCTAAATAGCAAAGAAATCCTCGTCGAAGAACTCCTGTGAAACCCCGACACCGTCTCTCACCAGCTTGGATGAACTCAAACAACTTTAGCGAGCCCAAACATACATACAGGGAGTGCAGAATTATTAGGCAAGTTGTATTTTTAAGGAATAATTTTATTATTGAACAACAACCATGTTCTCAATGAACCCAAAAAACTCATTAATATCAAAGCTGAATGTTTTTGGAAGTAGTTTTTAGTTTGTTTTTAGTTTTAGCTATTTTAGGGGGATATCTGTGTGTGCAGGTGACTATTACTGTGCATAATTAATAGGCAACTTAACAAAAAACAAATATATACCCATTTCAATTATTTATTTTTACCAGTGAAACCAATATAACATCTCCACATTCACAAATATACATTTCTGACATTCAAAAACAAAACAAAAACAAATCAGCGACCAATATAGCCACCTTTCTTTGCAAGGACACTCAAAAGCCTGCCATCCATGGATTCTGTCAGTGTTTTGATCTGTTCACCATCAACATTGCGTGCAGCAGCAACCACAGCCTCCCAGACACTGTTCAGAGAGGTGTACTGTTTTCCCTCCTTGTAAATCTCACATTTGATGATGGACCACAGGTTCTCAATGGGGTTCAGATCAGGTGAACAAGGAGGCAATGTCATTAGTTTTTCTTCTTTTATACCCTTTCTTGCCAGCCACGCTGTGGAGTACTTGTACGCGTGTGATGGAGCATTGTCCTGCATGAAAATCATGTTTTTCTTGAAGGATGCAGACTTCTTCCTGTACCACTGCTTGAAGAAGGTGTCTTCCAGAAACTGGCAGTAGGACTGGGAGTTGAGCTTGACTCCATCCTCAACCCGAAAAGGCCCCACAAGCTCATCTTTGATGATACCAGCCCAAACCAGTACTCCACCTCCACCTTGCTGGCGTCTGAGTCGGACTGGAGCTCTCTGCCCTTTACCAATCCAGCCACGGGCCCATCCATCTGGCCCATCAAGACTCACTCTCATTTCATCAGTCCATAAAACCTAAGAAAAACCAGTCTTGAGATATTTCTTGGCCCAGTCTTGACGTTTCAGCTTGTGTGTCTTGTTCAGTGGTGGTCGTCATTCAGCCTTTCTTACCTTGGCCATGTCTCTGAGTATTGCACACCTTGTGCTTTTGGGCACTCCAGTGATGTTGCAGCTCTGAAATATGGCCAAACTGGTGGCAAGTGGCAGCTTTCAAGCCTATACAGCTTGGAGTAAGACAACATGCATGAAGAGGATGAAGTGGACAAAATACTCAATTCTGCACTCCCTGTATATATACAGTTACACAGAATTACAATAATTACTCAAAAAATTTACTTAATTACTCCCAGGAGAAAGTAATTAATTACATTACTCGTTACATTACTTTCATGTTACTGTAAAATAGCTGAAACGCATTGTCTCAAAATTACCGTTTATCAATACAAACCAACTCACTAGCTGCGCTCACGTCTTCATTTTAGGCGGGCAGCGTTTTTTTAAGAGATAAAGGCGAATGGCTTAATCAAGAATTGAGCTGGGGTTTGGGGAAGGCCTCAATGGGGACTGGCAGCAGCTCCCAGGCCTGGCAGAGGGGATGGATGGTGGAGCCCGAACATGAGAACAAACAGCTTGTAGAACTATGTGGGTGATATATATATATAAGACCCGGAAGGGGTGTGTTTGGAGGCGAGGTCCCGCTCCTGAAACACAAATCCCTAGCCTAATCTAGAAGAACCAATTCTTGTAGATTCCCATCCCTACTCCCAGGCTCATAGACAAATGTATAACATTCATTTTGGAATTGAAATATTCCAATATTCCAATTCTTTTCAATTGATTTTTATCTTCTGTGGGTGGCATGAGTCTATTTCTTCAACCTCCTTAGACCCGAACTCTTCCATGGCATGCATTTTTAATTTCTCTTTGATATTTGGGCACGCTGGGCTCTGATGAATGTAAAAACAAAGAATTTCAATCTATACGAGTCTTTTTGGACTGTCAGGAAGACATCATGGACTTATTGGTGTTGCCGCATTTCTGTGGGTTTGGCTACAAACAAGGCATTTTGTTGCCTTGTACCTGTGACATGTGCAATGACAATAAAGTTGAATTCTATTCTATTCTATTCTATTCTATTCTAATAAAGCATGAACTTTCAAACATTGTGCATGGTTTTATATTTGTAATGCAATAGAGTTGTGGGTATTTTGTGATATTGTCTGATGTAAGCTTTTCAGTTGATTAAAAATAGACGTGCGAGACAGTTTGGCAATCTCTTGCTAACTATATGATGACAGTCCTACCTTCTAATAACACATATTTAAGAAATATTAAGGGCCTCAGTTTCAAATTGTGGTCAAGTCAGCCCACACGTGGAGAAGCAACAACCTCAGTTTGTGTCTGAGGCCGTCTCTGCTGCTGCAACAACAGGAAACAACGTCTTCTCCCCTCCTCTCGTCTCACTGCACCCATGTCTTCCTCATTTTTATTTTTTATTTTTTCCATTGTGCTTTAGTAAACACCCCACTTTATAACAGCTGCTGGGGTCCCACACAATGAGGTTTATCAGACCAGTCGACAGCTGAGGCTGGTTCTGTTATAAGAGTGTGCGATCTACTGTTTGAATAAAATCTTTGTCAAATTTTGTGCGACGGTAGATATTAATAGAAGCTCGAGCTAATTCAGTTTTGGTTGTTACACCAAAAATGAAAATTAGTCAAAACATTATATTATCAGTCATCAAATTTCACAACATTAAACAAGGCCTTGTAAGATTGCAAGGCCTGCGAGTATAACATATCACATGAAAGGACATGGAGAAAGCTTGCCCTTTGGTGCAGGGGTTGCTCTCTGTAAGTATTCTTGTTATGGCTGAGCTCAGCTCGTGAAAAACAAGCCCCAGTAGCAACTGACTCTGCAGAAAGTTGGCAACTTCTGCCTCGGATCCGTTTACCCCACTCTGTGGCTTTACAACTGTTCATAGCTGCAGTGCTGTCGTTCCCAATCACTTCCATTTTGTTATAATTCTGTTCCAAGCTGGAATTCACCGAGTTCCTGAGAGTGACCCATTGTTTCACAAATGTTTGTAGAAGCAGTCTGCATGCCTAGGTGCTTCATTTTATACACCTGTGGCCTTCGGAGTAACTGGAACACATGAATACAATGAATTGGAAAGCTGAGAGAAGACTCTGCAATATAGTGTAGGTCAGAGTTGCTAACAAACAAATAAGCAAATTAAAAAAGAAGAATTAGTGGTCAATGAAAATGATCTGTACTGGACTGAAAGTGGATGAAAAAGCAGCCACTGTCCAAAGAATTTCCTCTTCTTTCTTTTTTTTGACTTGTGTTTTACACTCAGAAAGCCGGGAGAACTATTCCACTAACCGCTTGGTTAGTTTTTACTTCCTTTTGTTTGTGTCTTGAGGTTTGAAGGTGGGGCTAATGAAGTTTCACATGGTTTCATTTTCAATGAATCTAGTTTTGAAGTCCATTGAAGAGTCCTGCCATCTATAATCTCATAATTCTCCCCAGATCTTATTTACTGCTTTGTGGTAGTGGACCAGATGTCTGGGATTCAGTACCTGGCTTACTCGTGGGCTTTTGTCATCACACAGACTGGTTTTGGTAAGTTTTTTGTTTTTTTTTTGCACAGCTCAGGCTGGCAGTTTGATCGTTTGCTTTTTTCTCTGAGGCTGAACCGAAAAGTCACTGAATAATTTCTGGGCTAAGCCACTTTTTAAAAGTCCTGATGGATAATCTCTTACATTTGTTATAATATGATGTTAGAATATACACTTTTCACTGCTGTTTACTGTTTATTTATATGTATGTACTGAATGTATACCATTGCATGGTATTACACAAGCCCAACTTTTTTGAAAATGCGCTTTTAAGTAAGTAAACAGAGAGTTAATTTATATAGTCCTTTTCAAGATGAGGAACAGTTACAAAGTGTTTTGCATAGGTATCAGTAAAAATCACCCAGGAAAGCGAAATGAACACACACAAACTGTGCAAAAGGTCACAAAACACAACCACAACCCAAATTTCTATTGAACAAAAGTTTTAAGCTACTTTTCAAAAGAGGCCACACAGTCACGGGTGCAAAGCGTGAGTGGTAAGTTGTTCTAAAGTTCTGGAGTGAAGTTTCGTCCCTGTATGTAGAATCACAAGAAGGACCCTATCTGAGGGCCTAAGAACCCAGCTAGCTTACCCAGACGAGTAATAAAAAAGCGAGAGGAGATTAAAACAGAGATAAATTACAAATATATTCGGGCTAAAAATAAATCACGTGTGGTTCTTCTCTGTTTGTGATGCCTTTTTTTTTTTCCTTTTTTAAAATTTTCATCAAGTTTGCAGTGAGATTCACTTCTTGAAGCAGTATGAGGGTGAATCCGTTGTTCTTCCCTGTGAGATTGAACAGAGGTACCCAGCGCCCCTGGGAGTCTCACTCAAACGATCCTGGCTGGTTGAAGAAGAAGTGCTGTTCAAGTACACCAAGGAAGACTTTACAGTTAAAAATTCTGCTGACAAAAGCCGCATTAGCGTCAGGGGAGACCCGAGCCTTCATTCTGTGAATATCACCATCTGTCAGCTGAACGCCAGCGACACAGACCGCTACTACTGCGAGTTTGTCGTGGAAAATCTTTCCTCTGCAGATGACCGCATACGTGGAAAGATGGAATTCTTCCTCCTTGTTGGTGCTGGTGAGTGCAATTTTGTTTTTTATTCAAACTAGAGGGTTTTTTTTTTGTTTATTTCCAAAACTGTTGAGTATAAAGGCCAAAATCTCTCTACTCTTTTAAAGTAAGTATGTGGTGCTGTTGTATTGGGAATTGGACTTGTTTGTCTAGCACATCAAATCAAATCGACTCGTCAGCTTCGTTGTTGTGCTCATCAAGCCTTTCCTAAACCGTTTTTGCTTTGTGGCAACGGCACTTTATCCTTTTGAAAGAAGCCATAGCCACCAGGGAATATGTCCATGTCCATGAAAAGCTGTACATGGTCTGCAAAACCGCTTAGGCAGGTGGCACGTGTCAAAGTAACATCCTCATGGATGCTAAGACCCGAGGTTTCCCAGCAGAACATTGCCCAAAGCATCACATCGTCTCTGTCACGTTGCTTTCTTCTAATACTTCATCCTAGTGCCATGTGATGTAAATGAAAACGTGATTCAACAGACCAGGTCACCTTCTTCCATTGTGTCCAGTAATGATGCTTTAGTGATTTCAGCAGTCGACAGGGGCACTCTGACTGGTCTACACACAACCAGCATCGACTTTCTTTTTGGCCAGTTTGAGTTATAGTACCCGTCTCTTGGAGTACAAAGCATAAGACGGTGTCTCAAACATCTTGAAAGTTCAGTTCTGATTTTAATATTTGAGTTGCCCAAGTTTCTTCTCTTTTCATAGATGCAGTTTTTTATCAACTTTTTGCGTAAGAATTTGAAATTAAATATAAATTTGCTCATTAACACACGGTGCCAGATTCATACACACAGCAACAATATCAAAAGATGAATTAAAGTGTGAACCTAGCTTTTTAAAAGTTTAGGAAAAATCCTTACTGTTGGTACCCCTGTCTGTTACTTCACGTTGTTTGCCTTTCCCTCTGGAGATGGAGCTGAGGACAGAGGTCAGCGGACATGGAGGTGACAGAGATGTGTGCCTGGGGTTCAGCCATGCTCCCCTGCCTCCCCAAACATGGAGGAAGGCTTGGCTTGGGAGGGATGACTCTAAAGAGGCAGTCTTTCTCCTCTTTTTAGTTCCCAGATTTTTAGTTCCCTCTTTTTAGTTCCTGGATAACTTTTAATTGATTAGATCAGGTGCTACGGAGCACTTAAAGGCTCTAAAACATAACCTCTGTATTACAACAGCACCGTTTGCCTTTTTACAAGTTAGTCTGTGGGCATGTGGACAACTGACGAAACAAAGTCTGTAAATGACATCAAATGAGCCAGTGTTGTATGTGAGAGACAGCTTAAATAAGTAACAGTACAAATACGTCCGGTGACACTGCTGATATAAATGGGGATGTATGACTCATTGTCTCGAATAGTATACAGTAGTCAGGGATTTTTGTATCAGTGATGTGTGAGAGTTAACCTAATTATAAATAATGCAATAGACCTTTTGGGTTGTAAAGAAATAAACATTCAATAATTGTTCAAAGATGCACTCGCCATTTTTCTTAATGTTATTACATTTTTGCAGATGGCAATAATGAATGAGAAATCATCTGTAACGTATTCACAAGTCAAATGTTTGTGAAGGAGTTTGTGTCGTTTTGAGATTTGGAGTATCAATCAAGAATTGTGCCAACTGTGCAATAAGTATGATGTTAGCACAGGGTCAGAGGTGCTGAACGTCTCTGTCTGGTTCCTCGTAGGATGCTTTGACCTTGTGCCTACAGGTGCTCAGTTTGGTGGCTCCAGTTACTCCTTTCTGGTGTACGCTTTGTCATCAGCCGTGGTTTTTCTCCTTCTGCTCTTCACTGGATTTGTGGTGATTTCTAAAGTGAGTAGCTTTTTATGTGCCACTTTGAATATACATATATACACGAGGCAAGAGGTGGAAATGTGTCACAAGTATTTCCACCTACACTGCCTGTTTGTTGCCATCAAGATCCTCTGCAGCTAACCACAGAAACCCCCACTGGTTTCAAAACTTTGTGCAGCCAGTTGGCACCTTTGAGTTAAACCCCCTCCTCTTCTAGTTTATTTCAGGTTATTTGAGCGCTAATAAAATGGTATTACAGTCATGTCTGAGTTAGGTTAACACTTCTTCTTAAATTTCCACCGAGGATGCTGCATTGAGAGAAAATGATGCATTTTGATTTCAACACAGGAAATTGTGAGTGTATGTTAATTCTGTCTTTTTTCTCCTCCTTTCACAATGACTGTCAGTGCAAAGGATCTCAGAGTATGAAGTCACATGAAGCCGATGTCTACGAGGAAATGGGTAGGGCAACACCTCCCAGTCAAACACAAGCACCTGCCCATCAGAGGGAAATAACAGAAGCTTCCCAACAAAGTAAACTTCACCTGGGGAACCCCTATGAATTTCAAGAGGTGCTCTCATCAACATCATAAACTAGAGTGTCCAAAAACACTAAACTCCAGTTAGTGTGCAGAATTCTTATATCTTTTAAATCTCCTGCATATTGCTAGACAGCTTGCATTCTGACATTTTTTTTTACCTTATTATAAAATAACTTTGGCTGCTTTTGCTGTTATCATAGTGATTAAATGCTCTGTACATTACTGAATTTTATTCTGCACTCCGTTACATATCCCGGTATACATATCCTTTCCAGTTACTTAGCAGTTGTCTCAGATTGGAGTAGATAGTGGTAAGTTGATCCGTTTTAGCAGACAAAGAGCCAAATAATCTGTCAAAGGGCTTCGTTCTGGTGTGCGGTGACTCAACTTAGCAGAAAGCCTGAGTTGACAAAGGAAGTAGATAATCAGTGTTGCAATACTCGTTATCTCTAACTGAGGTTTTTAGGTTTTGTGAAGACAGACAACACAAAGATATACTGAACTTATCTTGTAGTACATTCATCCACCTTTTTACACGTTAAACTGAACATTTGGGTTATGTAACAGGAAGAAGGAATGAAGAATGCATGGTTACATTGTAACACTGGTTCTTTGAGTAAGTACACTAGCCAGTATAGGTGGAAGTAAGCGGCTACATATGGAATCTGAGTCTCTTCACTCAGAGAACCAGCATTACAATGTAACCATGCAATAATACAATGTAACATTTTGAAGGAAACCAGTAAGAAAATGTTAATGGAAAATAATCAGACGTGAATTGAATCTGGCGGGGTTTCATCCAAAATGAACACCACACCTAGCCCTGCACCAGTCCAGCACAGAGGGCTGCAAACATCACCACGACACAGAAAACTAAGCAGTTTATCCTAAAGCAAAATGAACAGCACAAAATTATATTTCAGTTAGCTCTGAAAAACAGATAGAAATCTGTATTTGTTGCAGGGAGAAATGGGAGAAATGTTTCATCACTCATCCAACTGATTTCTTCAGTCTCAGTTGACCGCAGGTTTCCCAGCTTTATAAACCGAGCAGTTGCATAACATTCAAAACTAGCATCATTGCCTAACAATAAGCCATTTTTGCTTTTATTAATTTGAAACCGTCATGACCGTTAGTGTTGTCATCAATATAGTTAAATATAATAAATATAGTTCATGCAAACAGTCATGGCAAATTACCTGTTAACAATGAGAAACTGTTGTGGCTCAATTTTTGGCAGTTGCGCTGATTTTGATTGTTTTGCAACTTCATCTACACAACTGTACTGTTTATAGGATTGAGGACACTTGCGATGAAAGGAAATTCTAACACGAATCAGAAATTTTACCGTCGTTGGGACAAGGTCGGTGAATACTCACTTCTCACCAATTGTGTCATGTGTTAATATGTCATTTTTTTACATGCTGCATCGTACTCTTTTCTAAATGTGTTTATTTGCTGTGGTTTACTGTAGCTACCACTGTTTCACTTACTATCCCAGATTTGTTTGTGTGAGCATTGTGTTGCAGTTTGCATTAAAGTCATTTTAAAGCAAATGCAGTCTCAGTTTTTTTTTTACTATGTTGCAGGTTTAAATGTTGTTTATTCCTTTGATCATACATTTGTTCTGAGACTCCAAAGCCTGATTTCTTTTTTTAATAGCAGTTGGGCTAAATCAAGTGGCGGTGGGCTTTTTTCTTTTGTTTTATCACTTAAAAAATACTTTGCTATGAACATTTGTCTCTGTATGGTGCTATTAAGTTACGTAGCAGTCATCAGTTAGTGAGTGTCATTTAATTGTAGGTTTACTGGCTTTAGCTACTGGCACCAGCTAAACTAACTGTGTGTGCACAGACAGCCCTATAAAGACACAGTCAGTGGTTTCCTCAGATCAGAAGTGAAGTGAGGCTGTAGTGCCCAGAATGTGTTTGTTTCCAGTTACAATGAGTTATTTTGGTCTAAGTTTCACTTCATGTACAACGCTCACCTCTGGGAGGTGAGTCTGTCTAACCCATCACACTCTGTGAAGTCGTACATAAATTAAATGTTCTGAAGGATTTTACATCACTTTGACAACCTTGACTTTCAGTCAAGAACTGAACCAAATTAACTAAGAAAAGAATATTCAATTCAAGTTTATTTATATGGTGTCAAACCACAACAACAGTTATCTCAAAGTGTTTTATAATGCAAGGCAAAGACGGGCTGGTTCTTGTATAGTGCCTTAAACAACAACAGCCTCATTCACTTATTCATACAAGTATGTTTTGTCTGCACCTAAGTTCTAACATTTTCAGACATCCATACTCCAATAAATGTATCAGAGAGCGAACAGACAACCACCAAAGCTCCAATTAGTAAATGACCTGCTCTACCTCGTAAGCTACAGCCAACTCTGCAGTTTTAAGATTATTGGTAAAATAAATAAATAATAATAATAATAATAATAAAATAAAAATAATTAAACAAAATCTTAAAGATACAGTAATTTTTGAGATTATGTAATAGAAAAAAAATGATGTACTCATAACTATACAATGATTAGTGTGTGATTATGTGCTACAACAAATTGATGTTCTCATAAACTAAAAAAAAAGAATCCATTTAAAATACACAGGAAAGAGCGCCGGTCTGTGGAAGCTGCTATGTTGTCCTGCTATTTTAAATACAGCAGCTGAGACGGACACGTTTTGCCTGATCTTGTTTTATGTATCTAGCAAGAGATCGACCACTTACAGACCTATTGTACACCTTATAAGTTTTTTTTGTTTCTTTGGG